TCTCCATTCCATTCCACCATTCCTATCCTCCTTCCGTTTGCCCCCCCAAGCCAGTTTGAGTTGAATTCCTGGAGTTTTTGTTTGATGTCCTTTAGCCTGCCCAGGAGTCGGATCTGTGTTTTGAGCCCCTCCCATTTTGCAGTTATTTCTGTTTGGATCTGTTGTTGTACACTTTCCGTGAATTCTGGTCCTCCTAATCTCCCCCCCTCCATCTCAAAGGTGCAGAGTCGTCTCCAGAGTGCCTAGAGCACCGCCCTTCGTCCCAACCTGAACATGTTGCATGTGAACTCGTCAAGCTGGTCACTCTGGCCCTTGGGCCAGGCTTCGCACAACAAAGCTTTCCAGTCCCAGGGCCACTGGGCCTTTGTTCCTAGTTGCTCCCACAATCTGTCCCACCATCTCCACAGCCAGAGTGCACCTGAGCATTGGAGCCTTGGAGGAATATATGTTCTATTGTTTCAGGCTGTTTCCTGGATGGGAATGCATTTGTGCACAACTTGCACCATGGGAGCACCCGCCCGCTCTGCTCGTTCTCTCTTTCAACCAGTTATTTGTCGGTAGACAACGGTGCTCAATCTGCCATTGGAGTGAGGTCAGTTTGGCCGGTTTTGCCTTGGCTCATCACGACCTGTTGGGGTGAACGCGCATTGGGCGCTGGAGCAATGACTAGCTGCCTTCGCGCCGCAACTTCTGGAAGTACTGGTGGTTAAACCACTAGTACTTGGCCCAACTATCGGTCATGCCATTGGTAAAAAATAGAGTAGAATTGTTTCTAGTCGGATGAATTTGAATGTTCTTGCAGTGACCCATACGTTTTCTAAACTCATGGTTTGTTAACTGTCACGACTTTAGGAAGTACTGGTGGTTTAAGCCGCAAGTCCCCCCGACAACCGAAAACTTTTAGCCTTGTAAGTTAGGGCGTGGTTGTACGAAGGGGTGGCGACTGTTCGTCACCGGCGGGCCCAATCCCGCCATTTGAAAGCCGGAACTTCGATGATATTTAGTGTTCATAAGAAGTCTTCAAAATTCTGAAAATTTGAGGGTCCGTAGATTGGGACGTGATCTTTCGCGGAGAAATATCAAAAAAAATAAAAATAAATCATTTTGACTGTGAAATGATCGCCGCGCCGATTCGGCACATTTCCAATTTCTTGATGTAAATTTCATTTCTGCCATTCACCCGATTTTTCACTCTAGTATGCTACTGCTACCCCTCATGAAACGGCGCTAGGCTGCTAGCAGTAAAAGGAGGTTTTCCTCGTCGCGGGAGTGGTGGTTTAAGTACGTTTCCCAGCCAAAGAATAAAATATGCGGCTTGCATGCAACCACAACTTCAGGACTTGGCCTCAAGAGTAAAATGGCTGGCAGCACCAGTGAACAGGAGACCCACGCCAATTCATTTTGTTTTTTGAGTGCAGGGTGCTTTCTGTCCCGGAGGAAATCACCTCGGAAGTGGTGGTTGTCAGCTATATATCACCTGCGGCCGCGGCCGCAGGGTCAAACTCGGCGGGCGGCCGTGATCACAGTCCCTCCCCTCTGGCCGTGGTTGGGCCGTGACTTTCAGGAATTGTTTTAGAGTTTAAAAATTATAAAAAATAATAATAATAAATATGATGTTGTAGACTAGGTTGTTTTCCCGGGCGCTCGGGCACCCAACTTCTGCCCGGTTACACGCTCGGGTGCCCGGCCGGCCATGACCCCCGGGCAGGGTTCCGGGCAGCCCCAGCGCCAAAAAAAAAAAAAAAAAAAAAACTAAAAAAATTCCGAAAAAAAACATATGTTGTGTAGGATTGAAATGCAAACCACTTTTGGCTGAGGGTCACATTATAATTCTTCACAGAATCAGAGATAAAAAAGAAAATAACAGAATCGCACAAAGGCACCCCCCTTTAGACCCCTGTAGCCCCCTTAAAACCAATTTATACCCCACTCCCCCCCCCTTGACAGCCAACTCGCAAAAAACGAAATGAGCCCGGATTTGGAGTCCTCTGGGAGAGCGCAGAAAACCAAAAGAAAAAATAAAACAAAATCTTTTTTTTTTTTTTTTTTGCACGCCCGGGTACTTCAGGCGTCAGGGCCCCCCGGGCGTCACGCCCGGGTGCCCGGCCGGGCAGGACCGGCCGGGCGTGAGAATCTTCCTAGGTTGTAGATCTTTTCAACATGTACATTACCCTTTTTTTTTTTTGACTTCGTCTTTAAATTATAACAATTCAAAAACTAATTTTCCTAAGGCAAAAACTGTTTTTTTTTTTGTTAAGAAAAACTATCAAACTTATATGTTTTTTAATTTCAAATTCATTAATGCTTTTGGATATGACCACTAGGCAAAAGTTGTTCAGTTTATTTTTCTGCATAACATTTTTTTTTCCAAAATATTTTGATTTTAATTTTTTTTTTTTTTCATGGCCACAGGGGCGCGGCCTCGGCTGTGCATGGTCGCCTTTGAGGGGGATTCATAGGTTGTCAGCCTTTTGTTAAAAAAACTGAACGATCACTATGAGCCGGTGACTCAAGTGCAGGCATTTTACCTGTAATGGATTATGCGCTTGATCCTCGTCTTCCCCCTCCTTTGGAAGCCTTGGCCCTTGAACAAACCATCCGACTAGCGCTAGAAGCCCCGCGCTTGGTAGACCCCTATGCTGGTTGGACGATCGCTATTGGAAAGTCCCAAAAAAGGCACGGGATATAGAGACGGTTGGGACAAGAGATGATTTATGGCCTCAAGTAATAAAGATATGGAGATCTTTGCCCCTTCAGCAACGCCCGACTCATGAAACTTGGGAGGAAGTAGTAAGGCAAGCGCTTTTTGGGAACTTTTGGATCACCAACTCCAGAAACCAAATCTTTTGTAGTTCAGACCCCTCGTGGAAGAGCTGGGTAAAGAGGGGGATAATGAGGGTGGGAGACCTTTCGGATGAAGAGTTCAGAGATTGGAAAGACCCAAGACAAATGAAGGAAAGTCTACAATACTGCCACAATCTTGAAAATTCGTTAGGAGAAATTGTAGAGGCGTTTCCCCTAGCTTGGCGCTCCATCCTACGTAGGGGCCCAAAATTGCAGGAAGGGGATTAAGTAATGCGAGAAGGGGACCCCCACCATGTGGGCCAAGTTCACATCGAGCGGCGAGAAGATGTGATTGTGGAATGGTATAGCGTGGAGAGAAATGGGGGTCTAACAGGCCGTCGGGGTCCTTTGAATGGACTGAGAAGGAGACTCTCCACACAATAAGAACCCAAGGGGTAGGGGATGAACGTACGGCCTACATACCTGACATCCCACTAGGTAAACTCCCCTTGGACCACAAACGGCAAATTCAACCAACCTCGGGCGGAAAACCAATAATAACCTGACAGTGAAGGCCACGTATAGGTTGCTACGGGCGAAAGGAATCTGCGGGGCGTAGTAATCGATATGCGGCAAAGACACCTAAATGTGGATAGACAACGACTATCCCCTATAAAATGGTTTCAAGAAAATAAGAGCAAGCTGGCCAAAATCACATCCCTCTAATGACAGATTGTCCATCGGTGCCTCCCCACAAACAATTGGATAATAGATCACAATACCCAGTTGAAACAACTAGAACGAACTCAACCATGGTGCCTACGCTGCCTCCAAAGCTTCCCGTCCTGAAAGAAAATAGAAACAGTTGAGCATGTCTTTTTGCAATGCCCCACGGCGATCCTAACATAGAGATGGTGGGAGAGGGTGTGGAGGCAGATGATCCCTGACCAGCCATGGCCATGGGACTGGAGAGCAATCATGCTGGGCCATTACCCGACCCTGCAAAACATAAATTATGCAAGGAATATGTTCGCCATATCCAGGAGGACGGTGTTGTGGGTTATATGGTGGCAACGCTGCACAATGGCTATGGAGGGAGTTAGAGTGGACGGGGAGGAAAGGAAGGAGCAATTCAAGAACCACTTCCAAATCGAGATTATGCAGAAGTGGCAGGAAACGAGGTAGGTGCTGGACTCTTTTCATAGACTAAATGATATATATCAGAGAGAATCACCCAATTTGCAAACGAATGGTTGGGCGGACCAAGGGGAGGGTGGGTTGCCAGAGTACAGTGGTCAGGCGACAATGAGGGAGGTGGGCAGAGACATGGAGAGGACCTTTAAGCATCAGTCCTAAGGGAGTGACGGGACTACCGCCTCGCTTTTAAGGATTGGACAACAATAGACCCCAGCATTCCCATGCGGAGCCCCAAGTATTTTCCAGTCCTCACCTCATGGCATTGGAGGCCAGGCTCTAAATTTTGGACTGCAGGCCCACAAAAGAAGGGTGGAAGCAATAATCGGAACGGTCCTGGCAGCAATATAAGAAGAGAGAGGGCAGGCGGAAGAAGGGGTCCACTGGTGGCCCCCAGTGGCCCTGACTGGCCCCTGCCCCTTGACCCTCATGGGATCTGACACTCTGTTAAACAGTGAAGGGGTGCAGAGGCAGAAAGCGGACGGTAGGGGGTATAGAAATGAAACAGGTGCAACAAGGCAGTGGTACAACAAGAAAGAGGACTAGGGAAAGAAAAGGCCCGCTGGTGCCCCCCAGTGGCCCTGACTGGCCCTTGCCCTCCAGCCTCGACCCACAATGGAAAGAAAGGCAGATAAGGAGGCGCAGGGACGCTGGACCCGGCTTCCAGCAACATTCCGTAAAGTTCATTCTTCTCTCTGATGTAACAGGCTCGGAAAGGAAAAGGGGGATGGGTAAAATTCACAGTTCTTATGGGATTTTTGCTTAGATAGGGCACTGTGTAAAATGGGGAAGAGGTGCAGAGACAGATATGCAAATCTCAGTTTTTTCCATGGTAACCGCGGACCCGGACACTTCCAGACTGTTTTTCGAACCTGTGTCTGGACCAGTTCGGACACCACCGGGCACCGGACACCACCGGACACCGGACTGTACGGACTCTGCTGGCAGGGACAAGATGTCCGGAAAAAAAAAAGCGGGGAGGGAGCTCACCTGATTCGCATTTCATGGCGGAGCACCTGCATCAGACTGTCTACAGTTCATTAAACAAACACACTCAACAAACACATTCAACAGGCGCAACCAGCAAATGTAGTTTGAACTTTTTGAATGCAAAACTTGAAAGAGTTCAGCTGTTGAACGAATTCCAGCAAAAACTGTCAATTTTCAACAAAAGAAAGTTCAACAAACACATCCAAAAATGGTCTCTCTCTCTCTCTCTCTCTCTCTCTCTCTCTCTCTCTCTCTCTCTCTCTCTCTCTCTCTCTCTCTCTCTCTCTCTCTCTCTCTCTCTCTCTCTCTCTCTCTCTTCAGCGCGATGTTTGCACTGCCATTCAGAGTCGTCCTCTGCCTCCGACGAACTCCCATCTTCCTTCCGGCCTTCGCATTCGGAGTCGTCCTCTTCCTCCGACGACCTCCCATCTTTCTCGCCGCCATCCCTACTGCCACGACCGCCTTCACTTTCATCGTTGCTGCCGCTGCCATCACGCGCACCTCCGCTGCGGCCGCTCCCGTCATTTTCATCATGCTCAACCCCGCTTTCGTCGCTGCTGCTGCTTCCGTCGTTGCTGCCATGTTTGTCAGCGCTGCTCGTATTTTCAAGCGCTGCTTCCACCTCCTCTTCGGCGGGCTGCATCTGCAAACGTTCCCGCTTCCGTGTCCCCCTTCTAGTTCCAGCCTCCTCCTCTTCCACGGGCGCTTTCCACGGTCGTCCCCGCTTTCTTGTCGCCCGTGCGGGTGCAGGACCCCCTTCCAAATGCCCACCTTCCACATCCTCAACTTCTTCATCACCTGTCCCCCCATGAGTCGCGGCGTCCTTTCAAGGTCTCCCTCTCCCACATTTGGCTGGTACAGAGGGTGGTGCACATGAAGCAGCCCGCGCAACTCTGTACTTGTTGGCATGCTCGAGGGTCATGGTCCTAGTAGCCTGATCCAAGTCATGCAAATGCTGTCAGGCCAAAAACTTGGAAGCCTTCGTGGCCTTCCTCCATAACTCGTTGAGCTCTCTCTCGAGCTCGAACAAATCGCTGCGCAACCGACGATGTTGAACTGTGATCACCTCCACGACAGCCGTTTGTTGTGCTTGGACAGGAATGTCCTCCTCGTCGGAGCCCGAGTCGTCATTCTCACCTTCGTCGTGAACCAAATGTGTTCCGCGCAATCGGGCACGCCACTCCCCCAACCTTAGGCGTGCATCCGGCGCCATCTCATCTCATGTGAGATCTTCCACCGGTTCATCCGCTTCCCACTTCGTTGAATCGCCAACCTTCGGTTTCTTGGTCAAGAAGTCCAACAAGTGCTGGTTCCATCCGTTGAAAATCAGTGTGCTTAGTTTGATGGTGCCAAGATTGTTGTGGAGACGGCCGTGAATCCGTTCGAACAAACTCCAATTCCTCTCACAACTAGAGGAGGAGGAGGCTTGTCCAAGGAGGCGAATGGCTTGATTTTGGAGGATGGGCATGTCACTACACCACTTCCGCCACCACCTCACTGGCTGCATCGTACAGGCTTGTGTCCTTGCATTTTTGGTAGTGTGTTTCCCGGTGCCCTCGATCCAAGAACAAACCTCCACGTCAACCTCCATATACGCAGCCTCCTTGCACCACGAGTAAAGCCATCTCCAAAACCCGTCCACAATCTCTGCATCAGTTTCCGGTCGCGACGCTCTATACTCCGGATCCAAAAACAGCGCAGCACAATGCAGTGGTGAAGTCATTGTATTCCAGCGCCGCATGATGATAACCTCTAGCTCGTCCTTTTCCGCTTCCGTGAAGTGTGTGCTCTCCCTCAGTTTCTCCACTGCGCTGTCCATACGGGGACCCGTGCCATCGACTAACTTCAGAAGCTTGAGGAGGTGCTTAGACGTTCGCATCACCTTCTCGATATCTGCCCAGAAGGTGTCGTTGAAGATGACATGCGTCACCCTCATAAACAGTTCGTGTTGCGAAGTGTGCACAATCAATGGCTTTCAGTCATCGTCAGTCACACACGTTCGCAGTGGCAAGTACAACCCCTGCAGGCTCGAGAACATGATGAAGTTCATGGCAAATCGGGTCGCACCCGGTTTTGCCACGACACCGCCATTGGAGTAGTGGATGAGGAGATCCCGTACCCGCGAAAGGTTCGTGAAAAACTTTGCTACCTCTGACGCCCTTTTAATAACTTCGCCCACCCACGTGATCTTCGCGAAAGACTCGAAAATGAGGTCGCGCGAGTGCGTTGTGCATGAGACTGAGAAAATGTGCGGGTAATCTGCTTCCACCATTCGCCCCGCAGCTGCACAAACGACAACATTGTCCATAACGACCCCCACCACTGCCTCCGCAACTATTTCCTCTATTGCCCTCTTCAAAATGCCACAGTATGCCGAGGCGCCTTTGTTGCGCCGTGATATGCACACACTTCGCCAAAAGATAGAGCCCTTCGGGAAGGAGACCATCACGTTGATGTGTGGTCTTTGTTGGTGATCTATCCAACCATCAAGCTGCAACATGCAGCCAGTGGTTGGTCACTCCTACCGCAACTCCTCCACCCTCTTTGCGACCCTCCCCCTCATCACTTCAACGGTTCCACCCTCTTCGTCCTTGCATTCTCGAATTTCACGTACCGGAATCCTTTGGGCGCGTTCATGAGTGCATGCACCATTCTGTCCCAGTACTCGCTCCGCATCATATTGAATGGGATGCATTCTGCCGTCATCAAGTCATCCATCGTGCGCTATGTTTGCTCGTGCACCGTTATCACAACAACACTGTCCTCGATCGTCGTTTGACGGAGCCCGACTACACCTGTGGACGACTGGGGAGTCGCACGACGAAGCCCCGCCGCAATCTTCGACCGATCGACAACTCCGACTTCCACGGTCTGCTGCTCATTGTCGTCTTCTGATGACTCTCCCTCTGCAATCTCTCCCATAATGACTCCCAACTCTGACCTCGCAGCCAATCTCCCCTTCAACCTCATCGAGTACTTTTCTCTCGGCACAACACCTCGCAGGCGCTCGACATCGCATCGCGAACCCTTCAAGAAATGGTCCCTTGCCCTGCGCGCTGTCTCGGCCACATGCTTGTCACAGTAATCGCAGATCCGTTGTTTGTTACCCTTGTCGGCTCTGCCGCTGTCTCCCACCTCCGTGAAGTGCTTCTTTACAGGCTCACTGCGGCTCTTCGTCATCCTGCAACCAAATGACAAAAGTGGAAGGAACAATAGTGGTTAAAGCCAGTTCACTTCCCAACCCTCAATGCTCTCCCTCCCTCAACGCTCTCCCTCGTCCACTCTCTATCCACATCCACCAGTCTGCTCACTGAAAACAATTAAGCAAACAATCAACCAATCAATCACACAATCAATAAATCAATAAATCAATCACCTCCCCAACCTCCCCCAACCTCCCCCTACCTCTGCCTGTCCCAGAATCTCCCTACCTCTGCCTGTGTCCCCTACCTCCGCCTGTCACCCCTACCTTTGCCTGTCCCCCTACCTCCCAAACCTTCCCCTACCTCTCGAACCTCCGGCTACCTCCGCCTGTCCCCCCTCACCTCCCCGAACATCCTATCCCCCATCTTTCCCTCTTCCCCCCTATTTCCCCGAGCCTCCCACCCCCCCCCATCTCCCCGAACCTCGTTCCTCCCACTGTGCACCTTCCCCCTCGTCCCCGAACGTCCTCCCGGACCTCCCCAAACCTCGTACCGAACCTCATTCCTCCCACGGCGCGCCTTCCCCCTCCCTCCCCGAACGTCCTCCCAGACCTCCCCGAACCTCGTACTGAACCTCCTTCCTCCCACTACGCGCCTTCCCCCTCCCTCCCCGAACGCCATCTTTCCCAACCCCCCATCTTTCCCGACCCTACCCGCCGGTCTCCATCCCTCACTCCCCGAGCCTCCTTCCTCCCACTGTGCACCTTCCCCCTCCTTCCCCGAACGTCCTCCCGGACCTCCCCGAACCTCGTACCGAACCTCGTTCCTCCCACTGCGCGCCTTCCCCCTCCCTCCCCGAACGGACAAATGGACAAAGCTGGAAGAAAGGACAAACCCGAAAGAGAGAGAGAGAGAGAGAGAGAGAGAGAGAGAGAGAGAGAGAGAGAGAGAGAGAGAGACTGGCCCGTCTCCCCGAACCTCGTTCCTCACACTGCGCGCCTCCCCCCTCCCCCCCGAAATTTCAAAAGATTGGAGCACGACAACAGTATACCCGCCGGTCTACATCCCTCACTCCCAAGCCTCCTTCCTCCCATTGTGTACCTCCCCTCTCCCTCCCCGAACCTCCTCCCGAAGCTCCCGCCGTGGAAGAAAGGACAAACCCGGAAGAGAGAGA